CCAAGGCTGTGGCCCCTCCGTAGGCAGCTCTGCGGCCGCTGGGAAGGGCATGGGGATGCCCTTGTGCCTCCTCCCACAGACCCCGATGTCGGCAGCATCCCCAAGCAGCGGGTCATGCTCCCCTCGGGTGGCTCACTTTGCGCGGCGGCCTCGAGCTCCTCTGATTCTGCTTGGGCGCTGGGTAGCACATGAGTCACATTTCCTTCCAACGCCCATCTCAGCTCGGTGCCGTCGCTATTTTTGGAAACTCTTGAAAGCGGATCAGCCCGAAGAAGCACATTTAATGAACGCTCTCGCCACGCTGGACTCGCATCCCCTGACGTCTCTGTGCAGCGGCAGGGGAACCCACCGGCAGCCCAGACCCTGTGCTCCGCTCCTGGCTCGGGATGCATGGGGATGCCAGCCGCGGGTCTCATCCTGTAGCCCCCTCCTGAATCACTGGGGAGCTGAAGCTGCATCTTGGTGGCAAAATATTGCCTTTTAAAGGGCTACTGTGGGGCTCAGTGGGTTTTTTGCGATGCCAGCTTGGCATTGATCATTTGTGCTCCAAACGAGCAGATCATTCACAGTTATTTTTACTCTCATTCTCTAGTATTTTAGCTGGGGTTGCAGTGGCTCACTTAGCATCTCTCAGCAAAAATGGGCAAAATTCAGCTCCAGAAATAGAGGGCTGGATGAAATTTGAGGTGAGCAGGTTTTGCCAAGTAGCATGACCAGGACCTGCTGGCCTTCCCAGCTCTGGAAGGATCTGGTTTTACGGGATGCCAGTGGGGCTGGGCCTGCTGCACCCATCCCAGACCCAGCACCGACACCACTCTCCTGTCACCTTGTGCCTCTTCTCTCCGGCCTCACAGCCGGCTCGAGGATCTGCACAAATCTATCAGTTACTTTCCTTCGGAGCAGCACCTGCGCTGCTCATCTGTCGCTCGGGGACTGCCCAAGGTCGGCACCGGTGCGGCCGCCTTTCCGGCCGAACCCGGGAGCAAACTCAGAAGGGACGCAGGCAGGTGATGGCTTCGCTGAGCCACCGCTTTTGGCACTTTTTTGGGGTCTGAAGGTTTCACCTGGGGACAAGCAGCCCCCCTCCTCCCGGCACTGACGGGCTCTCAGCATCCCTGACCTTGCTGGGATAAAATTAGCCATTTCGCTTTGAATTAAAGACAGTTCAGCTGAAAGAGACCGGAATGGTTCATTTCAGCGACATCAAATGGCAGCGTTTCCTTTTTTGTCTGCGATCGGGGAGGGGAGGGTCCTTCCAGCCAGCGCCTGGTGACAATGACATTGATTTCCTAGACCTTTTGGCGTGGCCAAATCTGTATTTTTAGCTGGGGGAAAGAAAAAAGAAAAAAAAAAGAAAATCACATGTCAAAGAAATGCTTTCCTTGCCCTGATGGGAAGGGAAAAGAGATGAAAGCCTTGGCCGCTGAAGTCGGCGGACGCAGAGGGCTCGCTGCCGGCTGGCCTCTCCCTGCACCAGGGTCCCACAGCAGGGAGCAGGCAACACCCCGGCTCCCAAGGGATCCCATCAGATCCCATTGGATCCCATCCCATCCCCTCGGCATCCCCTGCAGCCATTTATCTTCTGGGGCGGGTGTTGCCTTCATCTCACCTTCTCTGCCTCCTCCTCCTCCTCCTCGCTCTCCCCCACCCTGTTCTCATTTCCCCAAGAAGACTTTAATGAAATCTGCCCTTAATTAAATCCACATTCATTTGCATAATTACCAGGAAATTGAAATTAGCCTGCGGACGTGGCTGGAATACACTTGACGTCAGGCAGCCCTGCCTGTTTGGAGGGGGCTGCACTGAGGGCAGCTGGGTGTCCCCCCACCCATGGGTGCTGCTCCCGGCTCCCACTCCCTCCCTCCCTGGGGCAGCCGGCCATGGGGTGACAGGGTGACAGTGGGGGGACAGCGAGCCCCGAGGCCAGAGCAGCATCACGTTTGCTTTATTTAAAAAAGAAGTCTTCACCGCCATTGAGATTTTTTTTGTTGCTTTTATAACTATATATTTTGTCATTTTTTTATGGTTTTAGTTGTGGGTTGTTTTTTTTTAATCCTTTTCAACAGTGACAAACTGAGGTAACGTCTGTGACACTACAGCCTCTCCTACGGGAAGAAGGTCCGAAACCCGACAGCCAAGGGACTTGGAAATAAAAACCCAACAACCTACCGACACAGCGACCTTGACGGGAACAGACATCACAGCCGGGCCCCCCGCCGCAGGACAGACCGCCCGGGGAGGAACACCCGAGCCCTCCCGG